AACCCTAACCCTAACCCTAACCCTAACCCTAACCCTAACCCTAACCCTAACCCTAACCCTAACCCTAACCCTAACCCTAACCCTAACCCTAACCCTAAATCCGCCTTAGGGTTAGCAAGCGGATACTACTTAAGAAGGGCGGCTATAGCTAGGTTTATAGCGGAGGGAGGCTATATAAATAGATAGCTCTTATAGTAGTTCTTTAGGTGGGTCCGAATATAGGATAGGGCGATAGCGCGCTTACATAGTTAGTAGATAAGAACCTTAAGGTTTAAAAGGTAGTTAAATAGATCTAGATCTATAGTGCCGTGGATAGGATATTAAGGCGTATAAAGGAGGGGGGAAAGGTGTAGGCGAGGGGCGGTAGATAGGATATATAAAGGTAGGAGGACGCGTAGAGTAGTCTAGCGATATATAGTAGTTACTAGATGTATCTATATTTATATTCGCATTAGCGCGGCTATAATTTAGTTAGGGCTATATAAGGGGAAGAGTAGGTAGACGAAGGCTTCTATAGATAGGCCTAGCGGCATAGAATTCCGGAGGCGGGGGATTATATTATTCCGCTAGGGCGGGTAGTTAGTATTAGCGTTAAGTAGTTCGGTGCGGGTAGGGTTAGAGTAATGTAGCTAATAGGAGGGTTAGATAATTAGGAGGAGAGTAGATCCTAATTAGGCATGTAGTACTAGACTATAATATTAAATATTATTTTAATTACTCTATAGTTAGATTTATACTTAGTTATATATATTATATATTTTACTATTAATATTACTAGCTCCTCTAAAGCTAGTATTAGATTAATTATTAGTTTTTAGTTACTATATTACTATACTATTATACTTCTAAATAGAAGACCCTAAAGAGTATAATTACTTGTAAGATTAATAACTAGATTAGCTTCTTCTTACTTATTCTATAAGGTTTTATTATATTCTTATAGCTAGTTATACTAGTTAAAGTCCCCTACTAGTATTATATCTACTTGTATACTAATTCTATCTTATATTCTCTAGATTAGATAATATAATTTACTTCTTATATCTAGAAGTACTTCCGTGTAATACAGCTTAATATATATTAATACTACTAGTAGTAACTAGTCTAGAAATTATAATACTACTATATTAAGATCTAGTAATTCTATTAATATCTATTCTACTTTAATATTCTTCTAGATCTAGAGTATACTCTAGAATACCTACTTTTCTCTCTAATATACTATTAGTATTATTTTAGTCTAATTTAGGTGTTCTATAGAAACTATAACTACTATATTATTAGTTATCTATATATATAGCTCTAATATTACTAGTTTTCTAAAGTCTTTTAGTTATAGGTTATTTATTACTCTATACTATACTATCTACTACTTTCGGATATTTAATTAAAGCATCTAGAGTATTCTATTTATAACTAGTAGAATAGAGTACTTAGTAGTTTCAACTAAATAATTTATATAGCCCTCTATATATTATCCACCTTAGAGTTATCCCTTAATATTCGCTATAATAGTATCCTTATTAGATATACTTAGCGTAGACTTATAGCTTTATATATAAGAATATCTTATATTCTAGTTTCTAATACCTAGAGTATTATTTTAGACTATATTGTAGTTTAAAGACCTAGATGTAGACTAACTCCCTTATAATATAGAAGTATTAGTTCTAGAGTAGTCGTGCTATCTTACTACTTCTAGTAATATAAATAACTATTAATCTATATACCTTTCCCGCGCTCTTTCTACTAAGCTATATAAGTTTTGCTATATAGATATTATTCTCCCTCCTTAGAATTTCAGCAGCCCCTAGTAGAACCTTCCCTTTCTAATTAAGAATAGCTGTTCGGTTAGTATTATCTACCTTTACTAGATAGAGTTAGTCTTGCAGCACTTGGGTTAGCTCCTATACTCAATTAGCTTACTCTACAAACCGAGTTCAGAACTTACTGCCTCCTCTCACCTTGCTTTTTCAGAGTATATTACCTCTATCTATTAGTCCCGTTGCAGTAGCACTCAGCTTGACCGCTATGTCCCACCACCCGCTTGTGCTCGACAATATAAACGGGAAGTTGATGCAACAAGGCTACGTCAACGGGGAGAAACTCAAAAAAATCTTCGAAGCTCGTAAAGCCAACATACCTCCGTGGGACGAGTTAACTCAAATCATGGAGTGTGCCGATCAGGATATGGATGCGAAAGTGCGCGAGTATCTTGAGTTCGAGAGAGTTCGCAACAAAATCGACCTTCTGACACCCATTCCCAAAAGGCCTTTGACGCCGGAGGAGAGAAAGGAGTTAGAAGCGGAGGGAGGGAAGTTCAAAGGGGCTATGAAACGGTTTCTCAAATGGTCTATTTCGGTTTTATTCACCCCCGGCAGCAACAACCCTCGCGAGATAGTCATCTATAGAGATGTAGGCGAGCCCTCGAAGGCTTTTGTAGTATTTCACTGTGTAAAGGAGAATGGGGTTTGGAGCAAAGTTCGATGAACGCTTGTAATATTAAGGGAACGATTAGCGGATGGACTATGTGCCTGGCTCGCAAGGAAGAGCAGGTTCCTTAAAGTCTTACTTGTTTTGTACATAGCTGTCCGTCGCCTAGGTTTCAAGTAGCATCAAGCACTACAGGCGCGGCAAGTTGTTGTCGCAGTGTCTCTGTAAGGTGCTGTGCCATATTTCAGGGCGCGCTTAGGGATTTGATGAATCCCTGTAGGTGACGTAGGTGTCAAGTGTGTCGGATCGTATATTGCATAGCGTCGACTTCTTTATCATTGTCGACTCTGAGCCATTCAGCGAAGGCTGTGTGGATTTGCCGAAACATGGTAGTAATCGTGCTAAGATTCTTCGGATTTCGAGCACTGACATCTGAGGTCTGAACCTCGCGCTTGCCTATCTAGACCCAATGGATATGTGGCGGGATCTCTTGATTTTGCGGATGAGAAGGGTTTGCTGTATCTGCTATTTTGTTTGGGTGTTAATAAAGAGTGCCACTTTGAAGATGGCGAAAGGACAAAGAGTAGCAGCACTTGAAGATTCAAGTTGAGAACTTGAAGGATCAGACTCAAAAGCGGAAGGGGACAATTTATAGTAAAGACGTCATGAAACGATCTAAACTGCCAAGAAACCCGACCTTCAACTTTAAGGACGTTTGCACTAACTGAGCGACAAGAAAGAGACACTCTCGAGTGATTCTCGCCAAAGCCGAGAGCTGGCGATTGGAGCCCGGAAAGGTAAGCTCTTTGCAAAGAGAGGAGGCGATATTGTGCCTCGATATCGTTCGAGATGCAGCAATAGAGAAGCTGCTCGAGTGTCAACAGTAGCGGCCGGAGTAGTGCGAAAATGGTGGCTTAAGGAGCTGAGCTTGCCGGGGCAAGAGTACTGTCTTAGTCTCACAAGACCCCTGCTTCCTGGCTCGACAGCTGCAGCCTGGGCGAGCAAAGTTCAGTCTGTGCATCTTGATATTCCGACTTATGATGTGGGTGCTATTGTTGGCTAGATCTGTCTGCCCCAAATAGACATGGTTGCTCAGCTCGGCGTCTGTGAGAAGCTTGGCTATGTCGAGCCCTCCTAACCTGCGTTGGTCCGGCGACGAGGGCGCGTTTTGTGTAACATGTGCTGCATTATTCCTCACCAGATCCAGCAGAGCTGGAATGTTGACGGACTAGGTTGAGGGTCCGTTAGTCCTCGAAAGAAGAAACACGAGCACGTGTTAAGCCTCTCGGCTCTGACGCGATGAACCCCTCAACAAGCAAGAGCTGAAGCCTGGGGTGCAAAACTGGCGTTGTCAAGAAGCGAACGCGCACCTTGATGGCTTAGGCGTGGCTGGCTGAATAAACTTTTAAGGTTGAGTTAGTGCCAAGCAGTGTCACATGACCTGAAGCTTAGCTTCACCTCTTGTTAGCATCTTGCATCCATGCAACTATCGTAGCGTGCATTGGGGTACCGAATTGACAAGATGATCCTTTTATGCAACAGAAACTCCCTGACTCGTGTTGAAGCGTTCTGGATTAAGTTTGCGTTCTGGATCTGGCACTGTTCGTTCGGCATCCCGGAGAGCCAATCTGCCAAACTTCCCGGATTTGACGTGCTTCTGTTCACGCTCTCATTGAAAAGGATTTCCAGCAGTATTATCCCAAGATGCAGGAGAGAGCCATACAGAGTAGTATTGACAGTCAAGGACCCTTTGCATTGGTTCTAATAGTGAACAAACAAGAGACCTCTAACAAGAACAAAGACGGTTCTCGGCACTCAAAAGGGGACAATCATATTGCCATTCTCTCTTCCGTGCGCGGCCTTGATAGGCCCATTTTCTTCCGTCTGATAATAAATGTGGCAGGACTTCTGGACACCAAATCACGGATCTCCTTTGAAGAACGCATTCGAGACGGGAAATGGCTGCTTGCTTTCAGCCGCCTTGTGGATCTTCTTATACACCGTCGGCAGTGCGATGACTTTATCACCGTAGAGTACGGCGATAAGGTACAGATTGCTGCCTGCTCGTCGCGGAGCAGTTCCGACCCTCTTGATGTTTGCTTTCTCGCTGGCTGCGGTAGGTGTGATCTTCTGCACCCCACTGTGCTCCGCGTAACCAAGACAAACATTTCTGGAGTGTTAGAGTAGGAGTACAAGATGCTGAACGTCTTTTCGAAGCCAAACCATGCTGATCTTACACGTGTCAAGTGTTAGCGTTTGATGATCGTCGCTAATGAGGCGATCCATGTGCGAGGTCACATCAGCGCCGCCCCAGCTAGCTGCGTGGATCTTCAGCTTAACAGGCTCTGGATTCGCTACAGCGACGGGTGCTTTGTCCGACTTTCCCTCAGTCTCAGGCTTCTTGTCGGCCTCTGGCGGAGGAGGAAACCCTGCTGTAAACGGTACAGTTTGGTCAGGGCCGGAGGCGCCAGGTGACCTGCTTTGGGGAGAGGCAATAGGTCGCTCCAGATTTCTGGTGCTGTAAGGGAACCGAAATCAAATTCTCGAGTGGGTTTTGGACCCCCGGGCATGGCTTGCCGTGGCACTTTTTCAAACCCGTCTGCTTCGCTGGACGAATCGTTCGACTTCCCGGCGTTCCCGGCAGGAGCGGTTTTGGTCTTGTCATCTTCCGGTGGATGGGCGCTGCTGAAGCGACCATGCCTCGCCTCAAGCAAAATGCTTCTGACAAGGGTATTGGTAGGGAGCTCATAATTCGATTTTTGACGCTTCAAGATGCCAGGATCCTTAGCAAGCACGTCGACCTGTTCAAGAACATCAGCTACGATTAACCGATACGACTAGTACCGGAACTCACAGCTTCCACGATCTTGTTCATCTCATTGTGCATTGCCGACCTGACAGCTATCAGGGTTGGCACGTCCGTGGTGATCGCATTATGTCGGTCAGGTTGGACTTTGCGTTATCAGCAGCTCGAACAGGCGCGGACTCGAAATCACTGCCGTCACTCACCTTCATAGGAGTCTCGGTTTTGAAGCATGTCTTGGACTTTCTTCAGGAGAAGTTTATATTCCATGAAGTTCTCGAAAAGCTCTCCTGTGAAACTGCTGATGTTTTCGTACTCCAGCGGTGTAAATTTCTTGTTCTCGGACCACTCAACAAAGCTGCGGTTTGCTTTATATTTGATCAGGACTGCCCTACAATGTGGTCAAATTGGTTATTCTCTGCGTAACGCCAAATGCGGAACTCACCATGTCCGCTGAGGGCACTTAGCTACTTGCGCCGGGAAAGCTGCAGCGGCCGTGAACATTGAATCCATGTCCCATGATTTTTTAGCTGCAAGGAGTCAGAATCCGGTCTCTGAATATGCTCTAGTTCATAGCTTACGATCTTTTACTTGGCCACCCCCCATCCAGCTGACAGAGATGGTCGTTTCTGTGTCTTTCAAAGCTCCGCTTCCCGAGCCGTCCGCGGCGACATTGAAGGAATTCAGGGTAAAATCACCCTTGCTGCCAGTGCTTACAGCGTTTTTGATCCTAGGAAAAGAATTTCAGCAGGGACTCCACTATTGCCAAAGTCTCTGTTGCCATACGAAGCTGAAGTTTTTTCAACCTTGCTTCGGTCAAGGATTCGGATTGACATAATGCCAGTAAATTGCCCTCCCTCGATGAAGCCTACAATGTCCATCAGCATTAGATGATGGGACACGTGGAGACGCACACTCACCAGATATGTAGCAATCTCCATATACTTCATTGAATCTTGGAGAATCAGGTAACATTCTTTCGATTGGCTTGAACCGACAACTATCCGTAAGGGTCGTAGTTTGATTCACGACCTTGGTTTTTGCGAGTAAGTGCCTGAACATCCGGGAGTCAATTCTTCGGATCGATACACTACCTTCACTGCAACTATCGCGTTGAGGTCGGACGCTTTGATTTTGTCTTCGTCCACCGAGCTCGCATTACCTGATATTTCGACTGTTCCTCTCTTGATTGAGGAGCCGTAGGAGATATTCATGGAATTCACCACATCGCTTAGTTTCTCCACAAACCGCGAGGAATAGGATACGACCTGACCGAAGTTAGTTGCGCTACTTACCCATCAAATCCTTCGAACTCACTTGGGATGGGTTTTCTGCTCGAGCCGTGACCGTGTTGCCAGCTGTGATCTCGACGGCTTGATCAATACACATGATTTGGGTATACGAATTGAACCCCATTCCCAACCGCATGGAATCATTGTACGGTGCGAGTAGAAGCGCCATGGTAGGTCTCAATTGCTGAGAGTCTCTCGATTGGTATGTAACCGAGCTTCAAGAGGCGACAACGTCAGGCGCACGAGAAGGACTCGAAGTATGTTGCTGCTGTCGACGAGAAACCACACGAATCTTCTGTAACTGGAGAGACTGAGGGGAGGGACCAGGGTGTTCATTAGTCGGTCCGTCCTGGTCCGAGGCCTCTGGACCAACGGACTAGCTACATTTTTGCCGCAAAAGTTCCTGGCACCTGCGGGGTCGCCCGCATCAACACCAGGAGACCACCGTACGCGATACAGATAGCGTCATTGTTCGCGGTAAAGAGGGCGTAACTTGGCTGCTGATATCCATGACCGTATTAGCCCACGTTAACGGGCACACCCGCGGCACCGTCGTTAATGTGGCCCGGGTCATAAGTGCCTCCCAGGAAAGTGCCTCCTTCACCAAAGAGGCGAACGTCCGGCAGATCGCCACCAGCACTCGTAAGGCCGTTAGTAGCGAGGCCCACTGCAAATGCCAGCTTTGACCCCCCCGAATTGTCTTTTTCGGGAAAGTTCGATGTGATGAACGAGAGTAGGCCTATACCCGTGCCGAGGAATGATACAATTGTGCCGACGGACATGATGTATCCTGTTACCAATAAATAGAACTAATTGAAAAGAGACTATCGGGAGCAAAGACGGTACTTGAGCTAGCAGTTGATTGGAACTAAGAGGAAGAATTCAGACTGGGAGTAAGTGTCAGGACAACTAGTTGCCTTATGTCTTTTCCGGATGCCTTGGACGCAATGTCTTCGACTTGGCGTTAGGAAAAGTAGCGTCGAGATAACAACGTGGCATTAAGGTTTTAATATCTATCGTAACCACTTTAATATGAAATCCTATAATAAAGCTCGAAGGATCTTAAGATTCCTAAAATATTCCCTACCCTCTAGCTTGGTAATATCCGCAGGCTGCAGTTGGGTTGTATTAGCTTCCCATTAATTAGTTAGTTTCCTCGAAAATAGGCGGTGATCGATCTTGCGACATAAATCAATCGACTATTCCTCTATCAGGTGCCTTGATTGCCCAGTTTGCATTGCAACAACTACTTTGGGTCCTGCTTGTATCTCGAACCTGATTCTATTCAATATACCGCATATAATTTACATGACTAAAGTAGATGATCTTAGGTTTATCTTTTCCTCGCTCTTTGAATTACTTTGCAGGTACTATTCTACAATCCCAAGAAGGAATGATAGTAAAGTATGTCGCAGGCAGCTATAGAAAGTGAATTTGTACACCGTTTGGAGTTGAAAACCAGCGTCTCAAAACAATCGGAAGCAATCGGAGGACTTTGCTGAACAAAGAATGATATTCTGCAGAGATAAACTCTAGCTTCCACAACAGAGATTCCTCTTCGTGGTCCCTAGATACTCTATAGATACGCTGTATCGAGTCAAGTCCGGCTTCATTCAAAACACGGCTCGGCGTTAGACTAAATAATCCTTCGTAGACTTAGCTAACTTATTGGATATTAATCCTACAGAAAGCCTCAAGACGTCTAAGCGGAAGTCTAGGCATAGCGGACGTGGGAAGTCGACCTGAGTGGAACGCCCCGTGCGTCATAGGCGGGAAAAGCTTAGTATAAACACTTAGCAGCTACCGTTTGCAGTCTTACCAACGCTGGTGTCTTGCAGTCAAGGCTTGAAGGTTGCAAGCACCACCGGTGCGTGTGGTTGCAGTTGATTGCCGCTGGTTGCCGGACAAGCCCGCTCGGCCCGCTCGTCCCCACGGAGTCGGTCCGATCGTGACTTGGCGCAGGTCAGCGAAGACTTTCCAAGGTTCACGAACTTATCTAGGATTACTTCACCAACAAGCGAACGTGAAACAGCCTTGGGAGTCTAATTGAAGCCCGTTTCTAATGGCTTGGTAGTCTGAAGAATGTAACCTTCTCTCTCCGCGGAACTCATTTGTCTTAGTCGCTACAGCTATGACGTCGGGAAGTTGCAGGCCACTCTTAGCGACTATCACCTGCTTGTTCAACTTCGCCCGTTATCTATCTCGCTCTTGCTAACAGCTTCTCTTGTTTGCTTTCACGAACCGCTGAGCTCTTTTAAGCATCTGCATTATTCCCACAATTGTCACAATCTGAACACAAACCCAAATTAACAATTATGCTTTCAATCTTCCTCTTCTCGCTTCTCAGCATTGTGCCGTCCTCGACGCTCGCACAATATGTCAACGGCAATGCCATAGGATCCTGCGCCGATGTAGACTGTCCACTGACGGGTGATGACACTACGCGTGCTGAATGCCGAATTACGGACAACGTGTATGGGGGAATAGGCCTGGTCTCCATCCCTACCACTATTAGTCAGAACGACCTTACATGGACCATCGCTACGCATATTTACGACAATATTGACCAAAACGACCCAGTGAAGCGCAACATCGAGAAAGACTTCTATCTCGGCACGCCTCCATCGCTAGAGCTGGCAGCTGATAGTCTCCCTTATAAGGGCTGTGCCGTCTTTCTCTATAACAACAGCGCGGAGTTCCCTCAGAACGAAGCAGGAACCTGTAGCGATGTTATCGGCGACGAGTGCATTGGAGCTCTGTTGACCCAGGCAAAGACGATCATGGCCCAGCCACAGAACAAAAGTGCGTCGGTTGAGCAAGCTTGTCAGCGGCTACAGATGGGCTTGCAGAATACTTTTGCAGACCCATGTAGGTCCGTAACAGGACAAACGTCATGGGGCCAGTTACATGCTGTTCGTAAGTGAATCCTAAGTACACCAAAGAATGATCTTGATATCAGACACATACTTATAACTTCCCAGCAATCACTGGTGACGAGGCCCCCACGCCACCCTCACAATCGCACAACGAAAGCAGCAACTGTCACCCCACGCTTCCTAAAACCAATGAACTTGCCTTGGTCTACGGTTTTAACGACACAGGCACTGCGTACTCCAACTCCACCACGCACATGTTCAACGCGGTCAATCTCATCCTGACCGTTTTCTTCTCTCCTAACAGCGAAGCACAAGGTGCTCTGGAATCACCAGATGCGCATCTCTCATGTCTAAAAGGCGTCTATCTGACTAATGCGCAACTCGAGAATTTATCGGGGAATGAGAATGCTGCTTCGGTGTCGGAGTATAGTGCGGGAATGCTGGTTCTAGTTGCGGCGACTGCGTTCGCGATGCTTATGTAGAATAGTCCAACGGCTCGCAGGGAGCAATGGTATTCACAGAAAATAATGCTTGACAATTCTATGTCTCACCTACGCGATCCAGTTCTGCCTCGCTTGATTCACTCTAATACCTCTCCCGGAGCTTGCTAATCCTTATAGCTACTATTTCAGCTAAGGAAACGGCTGAACGGGCGGCTGCATGAAGCTGTAGCTACGCGCAGCCCTATTGGATTATTAGGAGCGGCTCTACATAGGCTTTTCCTAGACTAGCTTAGCCTCTCTAGATTTTGCCCTACGCTTTACCTATGCGTGCCTTTCTCCCCTTACAGGTAACATAACACCTATTGCTTCTCATCTCCAACACTCTCTCACTTCTCGCATCTAAGACCACTACCTCTCAGCTTGACCTCTTTTATTGAAGCACAAAAAGAGGAAAAGAAAGAAGAAGGACATCGAAAAAGAAAAGAAAACCCTGCTTAGATTGCTTCTTCCACCATAGTCAACGACGAAGAGATCGACGATAGAGAGCTCAAGCGCCGCCACAGTTTCGATGGTCGCTATAGGCTAAGAGTCGATAGCGCGGCGTTGTCGGCAGCGTTGGGCGCCCACCCTGAAGACAATGACCTCTGGGTGACCGCACGCTCTGGAATTCGCAACATACTTGACCGCTTCCCACTCCAGCCGCTCTGGAAAATTGAGGCTAGTTTGCACATCCTCTGGTACACGTTCGCTCGAGCCGCCAGCATTATACCTGCAGATCACCCAGCGCAGGACCGGCTGGCCGCAGAAGTAATACTTGCGCGGGAGCTCGGGTCCTTGGGCTCCGACGAGCGTACTGCGGTGACGGAGGATGGAAGGATTTGGTCCGACCTCCCATACCTTGTTCGGGATCTGGATGCGTTCTGGCAGTCCAATCAGTAGGATCTAAGCGTCGACAAGTGTCGTAACCTTGTAGCCTTCACGGCAAGGCTGGCGGCGCTAGGTGTGAGGACGCCGTAACTCTGTGTCTGCGCGCTGCGCGTTTTGGATATAACCGCTTTTCAATAATTGCAGCCTCTCGAACAAGATTAACGTAACTATAAAGAGGCGGCACGTGATTCTAATAGTTTCCGGCGGGGAGAGTAAATGCACGATCAAGATCGATCGGGTTCTGGGGTGTAGTCAGTAGGAGACAACAGCAGTTGGGTTTCTAGGCTTTCAAATTACAAGACGACAGAAGCGATTGCCTGTAAACAGCGTGCTGGTGTGGAGTGGAAAGTTTTATGAAAGAGCGGACTTTGCAAATGGCGAACTCGCGTCTCTGCCTGAGGTTCGGGCGAGTACAGTACTGTATACTTACCCCACTTCGGTATCTCGCAACGCGGAACCGACAGCTGACAAGCAATCATAAACCATCCAGCAATACCTTGATGCCATTGTGGTTCGAGTGATTTCACCGCACCAGCCTTAAGCACAATGACTTTAGCATCCAAAAAGGCAGCCTCGACGGAGCAGCGTTTCGGGAACTTGGCACCGTGGGCTGAACCTGCTTGGTACAATTCGCTTCATTCACCATACTACAACGATAGCCACAGACGACTGCGAGAGTATATCCGGAGCTATATCGATACCAATGTCCTTCCATACTCCCTCGAGTGGGAGGAGAAGGGTGAAGCTCCAAGGGAGCAAGCTCTGAAATGGGCTCGCACTGGGGTAATGCTTGCCTCCGCTATTCTCTTGGACTTTACTCACAACGCATGATCAAGATCCCTTTCTCAGATGTGCCCTCCAAATGCCGCCCAGAGGATGTCCCCGATCCTGCTGGCATTCCAGTTGACCAACTCGACATCTTCCATCTCATGGTTATGACGGACGAAACCTCACGCGTCGAAGGCGGCGTGATGAGCTCCTTAGCGGGTGCCTCAGTTATCGGCATCCCACCGGTCTACCACCATGGTACGGAAGAGCAGAAGCAGAAGTGGCTTCCGGGGCTCTTTACGTGGGAAACCAGCTTCTGCCTAGGTATCACGGAGCCAAGCGGCGGTTCCGATGTCAGCGGGATCGAGACTACTGCTGTGAAGAGCTCCGATGGAAAGTATTATACCGTCAATGGGTATAAGAAATGGATTACCGGCGCTCCATGGGCGACACACATGACCACCGCTGTCCGCACCGGCCCGCCAGATTCTGGAATGAAGGGCATTAGCGTGCTTGTAATCCCCATGGACAGCCCCGGCCTGAGCCGGCGCAAGATCTACAACAGTGGACAGAACGCCGGCGGCGCCTCGTTCATCGGGCTCGACAACGTCAAGGTCCCTGCTGAGAATCTCCTGGGCAATGAAAACGAGGGGTTCAAGTACATCATGACGAACTTCAATCGCGAGCGGTTCGTCATGTGCATAGGCTGTAACCGGAAAGCGAGGACTTGTCTCTCTACGGCATTCAAATATGCGCACACGCGGGAAACGTTTGGCAAACCTCTCATCTCGCACCAGATCATCAGGCACAAGCTGGCCACGCTGGCCCGGTATGTTGAGTCGCACTGGGCGTGGTTGGAGCAAATCGCCTATCACATTCAGTGCGAGCCGCTAGGATGGCAGTCTCCTACCATTGCAGGAAAGATTGCGTTGGCGAAAGTGCAAGGAGGTAGGATCCTGGAGATGGCGGCAAGAGAGGCACAGCAGGTTCTGGGTGGAGCAGGTTACCAGAAGGGTGGAGTGGGCGCGACTGTCGAGCAAATTAGTAGGGATCTGAGGATGATGGTAGTTGGTGGAGGCAGTGAGGAGATCATTGAGGATTTGGCTGTCAGACAAGAGACTAGTTTGGCAAGGGCGAAAGGATGGAAGCTGTGAAGGAAGACTCCCCATACCCTATCCGGCGATAACAAGTGAATGAACTAAAGTAGAGCTTAGATAGCTCTATTTAGTTCTACTAAGCTAGTATAGGAATATACTAGCTTAGTTAGCGGAAGTACAGGTGTTTCCTAGTTAGAAAAGAGAATAAAGATGTTAACAAGAAGGAATAATAATATAAGATAGTACTATCATCATCTTATTCTATTCGTTTTCCTCTCTCTAATAGGAAGGGGAATTCTTATACATATAGAAGACTGTCTCGCCAGCATCACTATCTCGCCAGCCTGCTCTGCCTCGACCATCATGGTCTTGTAGAATCTCAACATCTTCGGAGTTGCCTTCGGCGCCGGGCCATTAGGTGTGAGGGGTAGGTGATCAGGTGGGAAGCGGTATTGATAAGCCGTTGGGAGAGGTACGCGCACGTCTTCCAGTGCTGTCCGCTGGCCGATATCTGCGATCTCTCGCCCGCGTAGTGGATGCTCCGGCGGAACTTAACGGGCATCTTGTGCGCGGCCCTATAGCGGGTATGATGTCGCAGGTGTGTAGGCTTTCAACTTGCCGTTCTTCTACGACACAGGTATTGAGGATTGCTCTGGGGTGCTGGTGGTGGGGGAGCCGGCAGGTCGTTTTTCCTTCGAGGAGATATGCACTCGCATGCTGAATTCGCACACTTGTGTCCACTATGCGTTGTCACAGAAGGAATACATATGTATCGGAAAGTGCTATTGCAAACACCATATTTGTTTCCATCAAAAATGCACCGTACTTGATGGCATCTCTTGCACTGACACGCACATCCCTTCTGTCTGCTCTTTGAAGTGCTCCACATCAATAACCGGTCCATAATAGTATTTCCTGGCGTGTGAGAACCAGTTGATAATACCAAAGACAGCCATACCGCCTAATACGGCAGGGATGTAGTTCATCGTCAGGCCCGTGACTGGAATAGCGTTTGGGAAATCAAAGAAAATGAGAATGATGATCGCCCAGGCGACGGTCACGGCATTGCATACCCAGCCAAAGGCACCAAGATTGAAGTGCGTGAAGAAGCTTCCCACCCTGCGAGGCAAGTACTCTGGCGCACGCCTCCGATACATGAGCAGGGCAGCAGGAATCGCGAAGCCCAATTGTTGCAACACCACGGCGACCCCAATGAGGGCGTTGAAGGCGGTGGTTGAGCCAAGATAGATGCAGCCAAGGAGGAACATGACCGAGGAGTTGAAGAGAAGCGCCCATACAGGCACATTGAGCGTCGGATGGATTCGGGAGAAGAAGCGCGAGAAAATGATTGCGTCGTCACGCGCAAAGGACCAGGTCAATCGTGATGCGGATTGCATGGAGGCAATGAGCGCGAAGTAGGCGAATACAAGCATCATGATGAAAAGGACAGTGCCGCCAGCGGCAGATTTGGTGGCCTGCAGGCTGTGGATCGTGTCAGCACAAGTATGTCGGGTGGTGAAAGGGGGCTTGTTTACAAGATCTGGTAGATCGGCACACCCGTAGGCGTCGTGAGGATCGCCTCCCAGTCCGTCACCGAGTACAGCATCGCGATTCCAAAGGGGAAGGCGGTGAGGAATCCTACCACAATGACCAAAACGATGGTCCTGGGCACGGCGACTGCGGCGTTTACGCACTCTTCTGCAAGATGGACAGCGCCGTCAATGCCAACATACATATAGTTAGGGCTGACAAGGCCGGTCAAGAAGACGACTCCGTTGGGCCAGCCACTGTCGGGGTTCACAAAGTGAGTCCATACGTATTCCGAGGGAGATTTCGGAGCGGAGGTGGCAAGGCAAGTGACGAAGATAACAACAACAGCTGTGATAGACCCAACAACTGTTGAACAAGGTCAGAGAGGAACAACTTCATAGCGCTCTGAGACCTACAGCCAACAGTATGGATCCATTGTGCCCTTTCAATGATGTAGATGTTGAAAAGCAGAAACGCGATGTTGAATGCCTGGAACTCGAGGAAGATGTGCCATCTTTCGAAGAGGTAATTTGGGTGGAAAAAGGTTGCGATGGCCGTGATCATCTGGCATGGAAGGATGCACACCCCGGCGCTGATCGAAATCCAGCTGAACATATTAATACAACCGCAAATGTAGCTCTGGACAAATGTTAGGGCTTGCAACAGGAGAATTCCCCTCAGGACGACCACATACTGTACTCCGCCGAAACCTCGAGGGAGATAGTATCGCCGTCCAGTGATATTGACCACCTAGATATCAAGCTGTAAGCGCTGACTGCCCGAACATCTTAGGTTCCTTGTGGGAAGTGTATGTACCTGACGTAGGATACCGAGCGGACAGCTCTGCCAATGAGAGCGCTGTCGATCCCATCGTGAACAGAATGAGGATCATGCCGTACACGATCGTGACCGGACCCCCTTGATAGATGCTGAATGCCATCGTGGCACCAAGACCTGCCCAGCTCTGAGAGATGACCCATCCGGCGCCAATGCAGTCGGTAAGTGACATTGTACGCTTCGGTACCGCCAACGACACACTAGGATTCCGCTGGGCCATATCCTTCTCTCGCGAGGAGCCATGCGACGGAAAGCCAGCGATCTCAGCATCGTCTTTGCTGTTGCGGAAAGCCATCTTGGAAATCTTCTGTCCCACAAGCCAGCTGAAACAGATAACGAGATGAGGGCGGGGAGTTGAAAGGTGCAAGAAAGCCAATGTTACAACAATAGTATAGAGCAGGGTTGATAGGTCCATAGGAACAACGCACCACTAAAGCTCTTGAGAGTGGCGGGCGGAGGGTCCGCGAGCATCGGCATCCTTGAAGCTCTAGTTGTAGGTGCGGCAGTTGCATTGCATCGACGCCACACGCGGAACTGTCCCAACCTCGTGGATAAGCTTAAGGAGAGGGAGACCTACCCAGAAGCAACGAGCAAAAGCAATCGCGACGTTCTAGACTACAACTCTATCCATCGGACACAAGAGCCTAGACCTACCTAGCACGATAGCAGGTAGAATACCCAGGCAGCCAATGCGCGTCTCTCTTGGCAAAATAAGATCATGCACCCATTGTATCTTACGCGGCAATGGGCCGCTGTAGGGGCGGAATTGGTCCGCTTTGCGGCGGACGGCGACTCAACATGCCGTTGGATTAAGAATAGCGCAATGCGGCATCTCGAGAGTCGCTGGGCAGGAACCGGTAACGAGCAAAAAGCTGATGTGCAAATTAGAGTGATAGGTACTGGTGCAGCGCGCAGTTCCTGGTGTAGGTCTTAGAACTGGCTGCGGTTGTGTTAAGTACGGAGTTCAGCAAAGTGAGCCGAAATGAGAGATGGGATGCTGTTTATCTCAGTTAGCGACTCAGACTTTTGCAGGGGTAGCCTTGGCATTAGCACGAGCCTATAGCGGTGCATAGAGTCACTCCTGCCGTCTAAAAGCCACTAGTATAGATTTATATAAGAGACGACTCGATTTATACGACTTCTCCACCTCTTAAGATTTTCTTTCTAAAATTTAGAGGATGCGATATATAACTTATATATAGTATCTCCTAAAATTTAGAAAGAAAATCCTAAAAGGTGGAAAAGTAATAGTAAAGTGTTATATATAAAAAATTACTAACTTTTTATTTTTTTTTTTTAACTTTTCTAACTCTTAGGATTTTTTTTCTAAAAGCTAGGGGACACTTTATATAACTAATATAAAGCGTC